TGGAATGAAAAGAGCATTTTTCTGAAGACAGTGACCAGCCCAGGGCAAGGGACACAGTGTGGTGAGAGGTTCCTGCTCAGAAGAGGGGGTGCTCTTCAGATTCTGACAAAGACTCTCCCCTGACCAAACTTGAGTCAGGCTCCTGACTCTTGTGGGCTCTGGCCCTGGCCTGCTTAGTCCACTTTTAGCAAGAATCCTGCTGAGTCAGTTTAGCAAAAGTCTCCTACCCTTGATATCTGATCAAATTCCTCAATCCCTACCCTGATACTTATCACCCTGGCCTGCCTTCTGCAAGAATCCTACTGTGTTGGTCTATCGAGAACCACCCTAGCCCTGACGTCTCCTCTTAGTTCTTGTTTACCCACTGACCCCAACCCTGCTCCGTGGCTATAAATCTCCACTGGTCCTTGTTGTATTGGGGGTTGAGTCCGCCCTCTCTTCCCTATAGCAAAACTCCACTGTGGTAGTCCCTTCTTGAATAAAGTCTTCCTTACCATCTTTAACAAGTGTCATGCATGATTTTTCTTGCAGAATTCCCAAGATGGTGAACCACCTGCAGTCATGAGCCCAGGTCTACAGATCTTCACTCTGGAGCATCCACAGCCAGGACCTGTTTGGTAATCAGGGATGAGGGATCCTTTCATGCCAGGCTTCTAGTAAGTCAGGCCTAGGCCCAGTGGTCTCCAAGGTCACCTTTTCTTGGCTCCTCCTCCCTGTCAGGGCCTGGGCTCAGCTCAGTAGCAGCCCAGAGGAAGGTGACTTTGCACTTAGTATTTCTTATTGTTGTGTGCGTCCCCTCTTCTTGCCAAGTGAAGCAGCTGGCCCACTGCCTGGTACTCTGTAGCTCAGTAAATACCTGTTGAATGAATGAGAGGATGAAGCTTCCTGTAGGGGGAGAGAAATGGAAGAGAAGTGGAGCCTTTTGGCCCCAGACTTGGCTTCCCTTGCGGAGGCCTCAGGGAGGAACACCACAGAAACAAAGATGGCCTTGTCCGCCCTTTCCCTCCTGCCTCCTTGTTCTCTTCTGCATCCTGCAGTGGCCCGGGGGAGGTGGAGATGGGCTCCTTTGTTCTGCTTCCAGAGGCCTGGCAGCAGCTCCTCCTTTCCTCTGCCAGTTCTTCCCAATCCTGAGGGACTCACCCACGCCTTGGACCTTCGCGCCCTCTGGCATTTCTCTGAGGATGAGCCTCGGCTCACAGGTGGCCTGGGACACTGAGACAGGGCGCAGAGGGAAGGCCGTCTCTCCACCCGTTCGCTCCCAGTCCTCTTCATCAATGTCCCCAGGGCCTACCGCACAGAACGGGCTCAACGAAATTGGGGAACTCCGTCTGGAGTGGGAACCCAGGCCAGCACTGATCCAGCGTGGGCCACAGACCCTGGCCCCTGACAAGAGTAAGTTCAGAAAATGAGGGTGAGCATTTTGAGATGTGAATTTGATAGGGTACTTTCATGACTATCAAATCAAATAATCTAAAAAGGGGTTTGAATACATTATCAAGCCATGAAAAGACATGGAGGAAGCTTGAATGCATATTATTAAGTTAAAGAAGTGAGTCTGAAAAGGCTGCCTTGTATAATACATGATTCCAACTATGTGACACTCTGGAAAAGGCAAAACTATGGAGACAGTAAAAGGATCACTGGCTGCCAGGAGTTATGGGGAGGGAGGGATGAACAGGCTGAGCACAGAGGGTCTGTAGGACGGCGAATCTACTCTGTACCGTACTCCAATGGTGGACACATGTCATTATACCCTGTCCCAATGCATGGCATGTACAACAACAAGAGTTCACCCCAGCTAGAAGTGCTGGTCTTGCCCCTGCTCTGCCCTTAGCACTGGGCCCAATTTCCTGCAAATTGAGGGGGTATCGTGACCTGACCTAGCCCATTTGTCTGGTGCTTTTGGTAAATATGAGGCAAGTGACAGGCCATAGACTCCTCCTCCAAACCTCACCATCAGGACATTCCAATGAAAGCAAGGCGTGGGCAATTCTGCCAGCCAGACACACTCATCGGCAGGGCTGCACAGAACAGTTTGTGAGCTTGGGAAAGTCCTCTCTGTCCTCAGACTCTCGGACACACAGCTTGCTTGGAAGGTTAAGGCAGAGGTGACCACATTCTGAAGTAGCAGCCTGGATCCTGGTCCCTCCTGTGACAATCTCATGAAGTGGGGACCAGATTCTTATGCCCCATTGGTGCAGAGGCAACGATGACTGTATGATGCTTCTAGCCAGGCACATATCTCAAACGTCATTCACCTCGAACATCCCTCATGCTAATTAATCAACCGTCTGGTGTAGTTTTGATAACTGCATTTGAAATGCTTATTCATCACTTCTGTACTGTAGATTCCTAAGGTACTCCAATGGCAGGATAGCTGCCCTCTCTATGTATATTCAGTTAACCTATGAACATGGATATCACATTACTAATGCTTAAGTATATTATATTATTAGTATATTATACTTAAAAGCATACTACCATCCAAACTAGCAGAAAGATAACTCACGGCCTCTGAGTTCCCTCCCATGATAAATATTGTACTATACAATTGTGTGTGTGTGTGTGTGTGTGTGTGTGTGTGTGTGTGTGTGTGTGTATTGACTTTAATAGTCCTTAAAGTGAGGGAAGCAAGACAGAAGTCAGTTTTCTGGTTTCACCAAGAACTTCAGGTCCTGGAATTACATGAGACATTCCCCAAGTTGCAGAATCAATTCTGAAAAGCTGAGACAGGTCCCCCTTCCTCCTGGTAGACATCTAAGGCTTTATGCCTCCTTTCCTCTTCTGGTTGTTGTTGACAACTGCCCTGTCCTCAGGATGGCTGAGGCCGTCTCTGTGCCTGTTCTCCTAAGGCTAGAAGTCAGACACAGTCCACACTTGCGGTGCCCACCTGTCTGCCCTGAGCCTTCCGGGTACACAGAGAGGCCTGTGGTGGCAGTGGGAGGTGAGCAGTAGGGTTCAGAAGGGAAGGTGGAAAGAGATGTTCTCCGAGTGGGAAAAAAACAAAAGCTGAGAAAGGCAAGAGGGGCCTGGCCAGGCCCGAGCGAGGTAAGGTAGTCAGCCCCTCCTCTTCCCAGCTGCTGGGCCTCACAGGGAGAAAGCAGGTTTGGGGCAAATGAGCACCTATGAAGGGGGGAAGCAGCTAGACTGGGCTGCATGGTGAGCCCAGAGAGGCTCAGCGAGCTGCAATGAGGCGCTCAAAGATTTCCCCCAGGGCAGTGGCCAGCCCCAGTGGGCAGCGATGGTGCCAACAGCAAGGACTTCTGGAGAAGCGGGAACACCACGTGCCTGGGTGGGGAAGTCACACCTGGGGACAGGTCTATGAGAACGGAGAGAGTGCCATTCTGGAAGCCCTGTAGGTCTCCCCAAACACAGCTCCCACTAGGACAGAAAGCCAGACCTCCCAGCCCGTTCACAGGCCTCCATCTCTGCCCATTTCCAGATGTTTCCCCAGCCCTTTCCACCCCAGCCCAGAGCCTCCAAACAAGTCTTTCCCCTCTTCTTTTCTCGGTCCCCTGGCCCCACTCTGGCACGGCTCGTTGGCTTGGAGCCAGGGGACCCTGCGGTCTGGGGAGCCAAGCTAGGAGTCTTGACAGCCACTTTCTCACAGAAACACGAGAGGGCAGACTGCTACTATTGGGAGGTTGAGGGATGGAGTGGTTTCTGGAGTTGGACTGCTTGCGTGTGAATGTCAGCTCTACTCCTTAGCTTCCGAGGGGCCTTGGGCAAGGTACTGAACCTCATTTTCCACATCTGTAAAATGGGACAATAACAGCTCCCACCTCCTAGGCTGCTGAGAGCACGGAATGAGGGTGTGAGCAAAGCCTTCACACGGCAGCGGGTGCACAGGTCGTGCCCAGCAAGAACCAGCATTCCACTTAGCGTGCAGCCTCCTCACTCAGCTCCTCACTTCCGCTCATGTCTGGCCTAAACTATTCTCCATGCTGCGTGCTGAGTTATGAAAATGTAATTAAATCTGTCACTCTTCTGTTGAGAACCCCTCCATGGTATCTCATCGTTAGCATGAAATGCAGCCTCCTGCCCACTCTCCCCTGAGTTGGGGTCACAGTGGCCTCTGGTGCTTTAAGCCTCTACAAGTCACATACTGGCTCAAATGTCACTTCCTCAAAGAAGCCCCCCAACCACCCCCTTTTCTCTTAGTAATAATCTGGATTCCCAATCTGGAATTACTTGATTGATTTATTGTTCATGGCCCCGCTAGAATGCAGCTCCCTGAAGCCACTCAGCCAAGCGCTTGCCTGAATGAACGAAGGGCACGTTGCTATCCATGGGGTCAGGGGCTCTGGACATTAAACCGGTTTGGTGGCCTGCCCAGCAAAACCGGCCACCATGGCTCCAAGTTCCCAACCCTCCGTACGGTAAGGCCTGGCCACCTGAGCATAAACAAACATTGCACACTGAGCCCAGAGGTCCAAAGTAAACATTTTTATTCTCAGTTCCGCCTTAGGCATCTCTAGTTTTGCAAGCATGAGTAACTGGAATCAACAACAATTCTCTCCCTAAATGTCTTTCATTAAAATTTGTCACTTAAAAATTTCCTGTTTTTCCTAAAGAGAGTATGCTTTGAGGGTGACCTGAAATGAGGCTTGAGGACTGTGGACACATCGGGGTTAATCACCCCATTTCCTGCCAATTTGCTGAGCAGGGAAAGGCTGTGGGCAGCTATAAATAGCAGCCCAGCAGTCTGTCCTTCCAAGAGGGAAAGAATTAGCAACAAAGAGAGACGAGGGGTGAGGTGGGCTAAGAACCATTCGCCCAGTTTCTGCCCACATCTGGGCAGTGACCATCGAGAACGCCGCAAGGCCCGGCCGCTGCCTCCACAACCTCAGACTCGGTGCATCAAAACCCAGTGGGCCTGGAAGACCCCACACATTCGCCCTCGAATGCTCTTGGTCAGCAAAAAGAGGAGTCAAAGAGTGGAAACAAATGCCCCCCAGAATGCCCCTCTTTCTGAGGAGTTCTCAGAGGGAGGCCCCAAACTCCCAGCCCGGAAACGGTGCAGGGAGGAGGGGGATCCTCCCCCAGGAGTGGCCTTCCGTCCGCCTTCCAGGCCTCACAGGACGGTCTCTCGGATGACCCCGATGAGGCTGTGTGGCCGCTCAGCCTCCGCTCGCCGGGGCCTCCTCTGGGCCTGTGGCCTCCCCGCCGGGGCGAAGGTGCTCAGGTCGCCGCAGCTCCGAAGGTGCAGCAGGCCAGGCCGTCTCCGTGAGGGCAGCGCGTGGACCCGGGAAGTGCCGGGCTGCAACGGGGCCATGATCTTTGGGAGAATAAGCGGGGTGGGGAGAAGTTAAGTCAGCTTCACCGGATATGGCCCTTCGACCTGCCTCTTACGTCTATCCACGTGTCTTTGTGTGAATTTGCTTTGGAAAAGTAAAAAGGGCGTTTTTCCACTTGGCATTCAAAGGTGCTTTGAATATACTGCCTCTTTTCCAAAGTTCTATGTTCTACCGTTTCAATGGCAGACCTGTAGACTACACTTAAGTGATTTGTCGGCTGAAATTTCTCGCTTTATATTTAACAACGTTCTTTTCATCACTTCCCTCCAATTTCCCTGAGGTCTATGCCAGTGATTCTCGTTGGAGTCTGAACATTACTGGGGTGGGGTGGGGGTCGGGGGCTTGTCAGAAACATGGATTCCCAGCTGTCACCATAGCGGTTCTGACAGTTGGTCTGGAGAGGGGCTTGGGCATCTGTGTTTTTAACAAAAACCCAAGTGAGACCAATGCCTTTGAAAGTTTGAGAACCACTGGTCTGGGACTGTGACCAGGCCATGTGTCTATAAAATGCCAACCAAAATCGATGATGTGTCTAATGGATCTGATAACCTTTCAATGAACAACATGACTAGGCCAATTTATTTGTCAAAACTCTTTAAGAATCATCTATTGCTAGATCTATTTTGCAGTGTGTTGCATATGTAACTTTAAACATATAATATCACTTACTCTGTAAAAATAGCAAAACTATGGGAAATTTTTTATCTAACTGGGATTGAAGAGGAGAGAACTGTCCAGTTAATACAATTTTTAAAAACTGCACAGCCATGTCTACATGACCTATGATACTGTTAGCACCTCGGAAAAAACTCAGGCGCTTTATTACCACCTAGTGTCACAGAACAATCATTTGGATGACTTTTTGAGCTTTTAAGGTTATTAAAAGGTTATTCCCTAAAAGATGGGATATTAAATTTCGTTAACAGTCTACTAAATATATTTGTCTATAAGGCCTGTCTTTGTCTCCTAAGGAGAAAATTCCAACATTCATAGGTGTTGACTGCGTTACGCGGTAAGTTAGGATGAGTTGTTTTGATATTGACGAAAATGAAAATGGATCTAAAAATTCATTCTAGTGATACTAAAGAGAGTGAAAATTGTGCAAAGCTGGGTAGAGTCACCCTTCTGTTGTCCTTGCCTCCTTCTGTCTAGGGAGGGGCGTGGCATTATGAAACCTCACCTCTGGGAGCCTGTCCTGGAAGGCCCCAGTAGATGGCCCACAATCTATCGCAACAATCTGAGAATGTGAACTTTTAATCGGTCTGGGGTACAAGGATCTAGCAAACACTAGTAATGATAGCATCTGTTCAATAGTAAGTACTTGTTCTTTTTCTCCAGAGCCATCTCCCAGGAATAATGACTTTGCAGAAGGCCCAGACCAACTGCTGGGTGAATGTTCCAGCTCTTACCTCATCAGAGCTTGGCAGCTTGTGAGAAGTAGCTCCCATTTATTGGGCTACTGGGGCCGGACAGAGAGAAGATGGCAGGGAATTAGCAGGTGAGGGAAGCAGGGTGTAGGATGTTTCCCCTACACAGGCCAGTAATGGGAGCCTGACCCAGAATCCCTGGCCGACTATTCTTTCAGTGAGCAGATCACAAGAGGGTCTCTGGCTCATGAACCCCTTCATGCAAGTCATCAGATCACTCTTCTCCCTGGAAACCCCAAGAGACTGGGAGAGAATTTGGCTTCTGGCTTCTGTACGAGGAAGCCAGCACGTGGAAAGAGGGAACAGAAAGGAAAGTGAGAAGGGTATTTTTTCAAGCTGACCTGAAAATTTACCTAGGATCTTGCAGCTGGGCATTACCCTGAGAATCAGCCCGATTCAACTTAAGATGTATTTGTTGGGCACTAAATGCACAAAGACACAGAGCCACGTGACATCCGTGTGCTGTTGTGCAGTGACGTCTAAGATATCCAGCCCCCACAGCAAAGACGTCAACACCTAAAAGGTAATGATTTTAAAAGAGAGGGAGAGAAGGTTCTTAGCAGAAGGAAATTCCATTCATTAGAGATAAAGGTACAACCCTCCACCTTAAAGTCCAATCCTGCACCTTAAGGATGAGAAACCTGAGCCCCGACCGGATGATGCTCACGACCAAGTTTATCTTCACTCTGGGTGGCTTCAGTTTAGGGGATTGCCTTGTACCTTTTAATCTATGGGGGAAAAAAGGTATTTATTCTTTTAAGTCCTATTGGCTTATTTATCTTGCCAAACATTTTGTGGGCGTGTGAGCGGCTCCCAGAATCTTGTCAATATGGCAACTCACCTATGTCATCATTTCAGAGGGCTGAGGAAACACGCCCTATCACGGGAAACCTTCAGTTTAGAAATGAAATGTTGAATGTGCTCCACACTGCCCGTACCCTTTGCTTTTGTTCCCTGGCTGCTCCCTTTTCTTTTTTCCAGGCGTGCTTCCACATCCTGGAAAAACTGGGCTCTCTTCCCTTGAGCCGAGAACACTGTGGAAAAGTTCCACGCCTGAAAGGAAAGCTCTCTGCTTCCTCTCTTCCCCTCCCCTGACCCCCTAACCCCACTTCCCTTGAGACTGTGACCATGAACTTATTCCGCCTTGGACAGGAAATCAGAGAAGCCACTTAAGCTGCTATGGAAACGAGTTACTTGTTTCATGTCCGATATTGATAATGAAACTACCTGTTCCAGGAAACTGGCACTGGTGATGGCTTCCTCCATGTGCTCCTCATCAGACTTCAAAACAGATTTAATGTTTTCTACAAGTTCATGGATGTCTGGGGTCATACTGCATGAAGACTGCTCCAGGAACCTCGCCACTAGCAGCTTGGTGTCTATGTAAGATTTGTAATCTATTAGCGACCGTGGCCTGCATCGTGAAGCTCTCGATCTCAAGCCTCTCCTCAAAGTCACCGCAGCCAGATCCAGTCTCCTTTCAGTCTGAGTCGCAGCTTCACAGCTGAGCACCGGGGCAGCTGTGGACAGAGACAAAAACACGTTCCCACTGGTCAAGCTCCTCTGAACACACACCTGTACCTGAAATAGCACAGACCACAAAAGTCAGCATGGAAAATGTCTGACAGATGCCGATAGCCATGCACATCTTGCTCTTCATCTTGCAGGAGGAAGGGGGAATAGAAACAACTATGGCACAAGCTAATTCCCTGAAGTGCAGTTCCAACAGGATATGGCCCCAAACATTTCAGTGTGTCACATAAAACACAACCCCCAAGGTAAAGACATATGATAGAGAACAGAATCCCAGAATGCAAACGAAATGGAGCAAGTCTCATGGGGTATGGCAAATAATGGGGACGGATGGGCAGAGCAGAACACACATGGCTGACCAATGAGAGAATGTTCCAAGGGGGGAGGACGAAGGAGTCACATAGAGAGGAAGGGGCTGAAGAGAGACAAGATTTGAGGGATGCGAGTAAAGCTCTGTTCACTTTGACCGTACCTTCGTCCTAAACATCCTCACGGGCACTGTACTGACTTACATTACTGACGCTCACACCATGGCTAGGAGGTAGATCTATGGCTGACTATTACAGAAAGAGAAATTTAGGTGCAGAAAAAGTACACATCATTCTGGACGTCAACACAGGGCCTGAGAAATCCACCGCAGGCTCTAATTTCCACAGCTACCTATATCAGCAAGGGTGTAATGACCAGCAGAAGGCCACTGCGCTGTGACGTGGGGAAGTGAAACCCATGTCTGGTCTCTATGCGTCCATGAGCCGGTCAGCCAGCAGCCTCCAGTGTACACAACATTGGTGACGTCAGTCTGCGAAGGCCTGCTAAGCAGGAATTTAGATAGTCAAGGAAGACAGGAAGCAGGGGTGGGAGAAAAGGTGGAGGAAGGGGAGCACTCCTTTTCCTCTGGAGAAAGGCAGGCATGGGAGCTTTAAACCACGGGGTGAGAGGCTGTCTTTCCAGGCTGTCATGTGCATGTCACAGAGAACAAGAGTCTTCCAGAAATACTCGCTGAAGACACTCATGTGTGAGGACAGAGTCAGGGTCTACACTCGTCCACACGAAGGCAGCCTGGTACCTTCCTCAGTGGAGGGCTCCAACAGGTAAACACATGTGCTTGGCCCTGTGGGGCTGCAGAATGAGAAGGGCTTCCAGAAAGATTTCCCTAAGCTGTGTGGCAGCCAAGTTCCCATCGAGGCTGGAGTCCTCCTCTTGCCAGGTGGGGTGTAGGAGGCCCTCAGGGAAGGCGGGCCTTGGGACTCAGAGGCCAGGCTGCCTGGCCGCTGGGGTTGTGGAGACGCACTCAGTCCCAGGCAGTAGGACTTCCTCCCCACTGAGAAGCCGCTGCAGAGACAAGAGGAGCGTTCTCTCTGGCTCGCACACGGTCAGTCCAGAGCTGTGGCAGATAACACAGGCTGTGAGAGGGGCAGAACAGAGACTGGAAAGGCTCAGGACAGGACCTGAGAGAGAGCAGGGTGGGAGGACTGTCAAAGTCTTATCTGCATAAAGTTTTAGAAGAACAGAGGCCAATTCTTAGACTAGTTCACAAAAGGAAGCCCGTGCTGGTGGAATTACAGAAGGTTTTCATTTTCTTCCTCTATTTCTTTTACTTTTTACAATTTTCTACAATGAAGAGATATTTGGAGATGTTCAGGCAGTCATAGATTGAGAAAAAGGTCTCCATGTTGTTATTTTAAAATGCTTACATTTTTAATTATTCAAATAACATCTTTACACAAACTCATCACAGAGAGGGAGAGAGGTGACGGGTATGAACCTGTGCGTTTCACTCTATCTAAAGTTCTTAAAACAAGGTCAGATTTCAATAATTCACCTACTCATACACAGTAAAAAGACAATAAAACATTAAATTATAGAAGATGGAGTAAAAAAATTACCCACCTTTGACGTTTTCCTTAGGGAGAATGTATATTCCCACCTGACTGTAACATCTAGGCATCAGAACTAGGTGTGCATAATGGTCCTTATGTAGCACCTAGCATGGTATATCATGGGAACCAAGTGCTTTGGATGATGACTTAAAAAAAAAAACAAAAACCCTACCATCCTTAAAAGATGTGGTAGATGTATATTCCCAGTGTGCATGTAGAATATTTTACTTTCTGAAGACCTCTTAACCTCCATCAAGTTACCACTTAAACTGCAGAGCCTTGGGCTTGCCGGAGCCACCTGCTTTCACCTGGCACCTTTAGGCAAATAAGCACAGTGCTCTGCGAAGAGCTCGGGGAATAACATCACCTCTGTCCTCGGAATGATGGAGCACAGGGTCGCTCTTTGATCTTGTCCTCAGGGCCGGGAGGGCTCTCCGGCTTCTCACCGGCTGCACCAGCGTTGAGCTGGGCGTTGAAATGGATGTGCTTTCTTCTCCAGGTGTGTTAGGAATGTCCCCACCTGATTTTTTTTTTTAAAAAAAGAAGAGAAACATAAATTATTTCACCAGCTGCAGTCTTCAAAATGTAGGGCAGGAAACACCTGTGAGCCCAAACCTGCCGGGGCATGGGTACTAGAGTTAATAACATTTATTTAGGCTGCAGGCCCAGTAAGTTTTCATTTCCCAGCGCTGTGGGAAAATTTGCCTCTCCAAACCAGCCCTCCACACCTAGAACAAATAAATAAAAAAATTTAAATGCTAGAGCAAAATAAGCCATGCCAAAATGTCAGTTTTTTCTAAAGGTGCTTCCAATCTTATCCACTGAAGCATCTTGGTGCCATACGGGAAAACTCCCAGGCATTTCAGAGTTTCTGATCATTCAGGATGAGCTTGGTTCTGCTGAAGGTAATACCTGCCCAGGTGAGGGGGCAGCTTTGCGAACTGCAGACCAGATGCTGGCAGAGGACTTATCCGCGCAACCCAGAGTGCATGCCGGGCTAAACAGATCAGTAAAATCACTCTGGAATTGAATGACTTATGCTCAGGAAAATAAAATCATCATTTGTGAGCCCGAGTTGTGGTCTGGGAAACTGTCTTTAAAAATGGAAAAATTACAAACATATTTAGAAGAACAGAACGCTGCCTCATAATTCTACTTAAGATGGAATGTGAACAGAATGGAAAGCCATTCCAAATGGTACTGCTGAAAAATCTCCTCCATCTAAAATTGCTGATGGATCCATTATTTATTACCATTTGCGATTCTGTTCTGGTGGACAATTCTCTGAGCCATTTAAAACCTTCCCAAAGAGAGAAAGCCATAACCATGTTCCCTTAAATTGCAAGGATAAATGTAAACTGACTCTAGTATTTCACGTGGGACTGAAAATCAGAATTCACCCGATGCTCAGGCAGCATGAACCGGGCCCCAGGTTATAAATGATGCAGCACAATCTTACAGCAAACCACACTGCAGTAAATGAAACTCTTTTTTCTCTGCAAAAAAGTCCATCTAATTTTAACAGGAGAAAGAAAATCATAGCTCGGAAAACACAGGAATGCCAAATTAAACTCTGTAATCTATTTCATGGGTTTCTGAGAACAGTCTGGTTATTCATAAAAGATGGTAAGGATATCTTTTTTTGTCTGTTCACATATTATCTCCCACTGATAAGCCCTAAGATTTGACAGTGTTTTTGCACCTGAAAAAGAGGATGTAGCTTGAATGATTTGCTCTAAGAATATCTTACCTCCAACAAAACACCAGACAGATCATTACTTCGTCATGTTTTAATCAACCAAACCATGACTTTGGGCAGCAATAACATATCTATTACCTTGAGTCGCTTGTGTGCAGACTGGTTCCAGTGGGCTCGCAGCAGCTTCTGACCCTTCTGGCATTTGGAATGAAGATCCCTGCATCACAGGAAAAAAGAGGGTTATTTTCTTGATATTCAACTCACCCCTCCTCAGACCCCAGCGAACTCCCTAAAAAGACGGGCGGGACACAGTGTCCCCGCTGTTCTCTGGGAGGAGTGCTGTGCTTCCTACTTGCAGTCACCATACCTGCTCCCGGTGCGTCTGGCTCACCACGGCTTCGTACGGCGGCGGGGGGTCCAGAGGACAGAACACTTCCACGCCTTTGATGCGCGCTCCGTAGATATGTGGCAGTGGAATGACATCAGGACCAACCGTCCTAGGAAAAGCACCTTGACATCAGGGAGCATATTCTACAGACTGGCCGGACGACTGCAGTGGCTCCCAGACACTGGCCTGTGCCAGACTGAGGGGGAAACCACTCACCCTCCGCACCACGTCCTCCCAGGCCAGGGGAGGAGAATAACATCAGCTGCTCTCTGACAGAGTGCCCAGAGTTCCTTAGGCAAGTTGACAGCGTGTAAAACGCAACCCCACCATTCCTTTGAAACCTACCCGTCAAAAGGCAAATACGAATCCATAGAGACAGAGAGCAGACTAGTGGTCGCCCGGGGGCATGGGGAGAAGGGGACAGGGAGTGACTATTGAATGGGTACGGGATCTCCTTGGAAGTGATGAAAATGCTTTGGAACTAGATAAAGGTGATGGTTGCGCAACTTTGTGAATGTACGAAATACCACTGAACTGTACACTTTAAAGTGGTTAATTTCATGTTAAATGAATTTTGCCTCAATTTTAAAAACAACTAAGGACTCAGAAAAACTCAACTATTTCTTACATTAGTACATGACAAAAGTTCTTACCTGAGTTTCCCTAATGTCCGATTCATGACAGAAACTCACTACAGGCTGAGCATCCCTAATCTGAAAAATCCGAAATCTAAAATCCTCCAAAATCCAAAACTTTTTGAATGCCAATATGATGCCAAAAGTAGAGCATTCCGCACCTGACCTTACCTGACAGGAGTTTCATGCACAAAATTATTTAAAATAATACATAAAATTACCTTTAGGCTGTGTGTATAAGATGTACATACAATATCAATGAAGTTCTTATTTGGACTTGTGTCCCCTCCCCAAGACAGTGCATGATGTCTATGCAAATATTCCAAAATCTGAAAAAATCTGAAATCCGAAACACTTCTGGTCCCAAGCATTTCGGATAATGGATACTCAATCTGTATTTTTTTAAGAGAATATTTGAAAGGATGAATTAATTTACAACAGAAAGTGAGCAGTATCCTAGCTCAGAGACAAAGCAGCAAGCAGTCGGAGTGACCTTTCCTAAAGCCGGCCATGCAACACACACTGATTGAAAACTTGCTCCACGCCAGGCACTGTGCGAGGTGCTGGGGACTTGACAGATTTTTTAAAACCGGGCTATATTAAGGGTAATGCCAGGGGGAAGAAGAAAGGAAGGTTCACTTTCTGTTTTCTCCTAACCTTGATATAGTAAACTCAGCCAAGTTGGCAAAATGATTTGCATTGATTCGTAATATGAACAGCACCACCACCACCAACAACAAAGCTATAGCAAACTCAAGATTTCAGAGTACACAAGACAGGTTTAAAGGTTCTCACATTTCACTGAAACAAACAATGTGGATGTACAGAAGCTGAACTTCAGAAGACAAATCTACTCCGTGTCCTGCTAACTTAATTAAAATGGTGGCTGCTGTTCTCGACTTGATTTCGCTGCTGAATTTCTTTACCTTCCCCAATCCTGTTGGCTTTCACTATGTCCACTGTGTTCTTTCTTATTCTCCTCTCTTCTTACTTTTCACCTCCCCTCCTTTAAGTGGAGATAGTTTAGGACTGAAAAATTCTTTCATTATTAAATATTTACATTGGCTATATTTACCAATGAAAGTGTTATAACCCCATATGGTTACTAAATTACAGACTTTCTTTCCCAACTGCCTTCCCTCACCCAAATAAAGTTAGATGTGTTTTCCTTTTAAGTGCTTCTTAGATAACCGGTTTGTTTGTTTGTTTGATTTTGTTTTGCCCTGTGGATAAGAGACCCTCAGTAGCAAAATAAAAAACGAAAACATAATCCCCCACAAGATTTCTGGCCAATGTTCATAGAAAATTCTACAAAAGAGAATCTAGATAATGAAGAAACTAAATTTTAAAATAATTATAAAATACATAGTAAAAAGCCAGAAAGCCTGTATGCAGGCTATGGAGTATGAGAGAATGAAAAAAATAAATTACAGCAAAAGTTGATCTGCTCTTGAAATACAAAAGAGAATAAAAGCCCTAAAAGCAATGGATGAAAAGACATATTCTGGGGCCAGCTACACGCAGGGGACCGCTTTTGGGGGAGAGGTGTTCTCTGATCTTACAGTTGTTTCATTTTATTCCTTGTGCTCATTTATAAAATGTGATTGGTGGAAGAAAAAAGTAGAAAAAGGTGTGATATTCTTTCTTCCTAACAACAAAACTTCTAGAATTCTGGGATCTAGGAGAATGAGACTTCTGCAGCCTAAATGAAAAGATGAGAAAGCTCTCCTGCTTTTGCCTTTATATTTGTAAACTAGACTCATTGCCTGCTTGACCTGAAAGGGAAGAGAGAAAGAAGGTTACATGCTGACACCCAAAGTGGAGATGTTTTCAGGCTCAGCACGTGACATGTCATGCGTCCAGGCTGAAGAGAGGCACCAGCACAAAGGGTCCCTCTGTCGGGGGGCAGGGAGGGGTCCTGGCAAAGTCATCACGGAAAAAATATTCTCCCCTTAGAACAGGACTAGCCAAGGAGCTCCAACCACTCCAGCCCTCCTATCTAACCAAAGCAGTGTAAGAATTATAAATGCTGAGGGACTCTGAGAAGCCAGACCCTTCCTGGATCCAACTGGATGAAGATTCTTTCCGGCCAAGGAACAGTACAATTTGTTTTAGTCAACGAGACCTATGGACTCCTTCTGTCCTCTCCGGAGGGCCAGTCTTCAATCCTTAATTAATATAAGCCCCATGAGCCATCTTTCTAGCATCTTTCTAGCCATCTTACAAACCCTTGACTTTTCCTTCTCAACCACTGACACGTGTATTTCTTCTCTGCTGTGTCCCCTGCCTAGACAGTTAATACCCTCAGCTTTGTTTGCCTGTGTGTCTGTGACTCTGATGGTCTCCGTTCCACATTCCCAATGCAGCGGTGGCCCATGTGCTCACAGAGGGGAGGGCTCACTGAAGACCAAGATGTCAGAGGAACAGGCTCCACTTTAGATCCTAAAATACTGCAAAATTTCTCCCAGAAAAACAACTGGGGGGAAGAAAGAGCTTACTATATCCAAGTTCATCACACAATAAACAGCTTCTATGGCGATTACTATAATGACCATAAAAGCCCCATTTTGATGGAAGATGCTGCTAGAGTTGACATAAAAGGAAAGTTTCTTTCCTATGAAGCAACTTCTTATTTTACCTCATTTGGGTAAATAAGGGTCCATGAGGCAAACAGGTCTGCTATAGACTGGCAGGTTGGTTTTGGGTTTTATTTTTTTCCCCTGATTTCTTATGACTCACAGCCCTAGCTACAGAGTAGAATCACCTTGGGAAGTTCTAAAACTCTGGCTGGCCCAGGCCTCACCTTTAGAAATTCTGCTCTAATTGCCTGTGGTGGGGTCCAGGAATCTGTCTGTTTTCAGTGCTCCTGGGGGATTCTAATGCATAGCCAGGACTGAGCACCACCGCTAAAGGAAATGGATCATGGTGGCCGAAATTAAAACCCTGTTCTATTTGGGAAAGTTGATCAAATTTTTATTAAGAATGAGGGTCTTTAGAAAACTGCTGCCTGATAAGGTAGAGGCAAGACTGAGAACTAAGTGTTTCTTAGGAGTAGGACACATACCAAGAGCACTTTAGACTGTGCAACTAACAATGGGAGAGCACAGTCTAAGCTTTTATTTTTAGAAAACTTCTCATGTCCATTATCTCATAACAATCCTCCCAGCAGCCATGTGGTGATGCAGGTGAATGAGGAAACTGAGGCTCAGAAACAGTAAGACACCCACCCAGGGGCACCCTTCTTTGCAGAGACTCCGGAGCCTGGGCTTTTTCAAGTTCATCCTAAAGTCTCCAGAAAACCTTCCCTGGCGCATGCCGATGAGCACAGAAGCTGAGAGGAAATTCAAACAGATCATGCGAAACACGTTCTGCTTTAATGCTACAAATAGACCTTAAAAACTTATCCCAGGGGAATGCTGCAACAAATATGCCTTTGACCAAAGAATGATCCTCCTCTGTCTGCTAGAGAGCTGCTCCTGTTTCTGGGTTGCTGCCTGTGGAGCGGGGAGAAAGGCACCTCCCCTCAACCCCAGGCACCTCCCAATGTAGTTTTCAAATTCTTCAGGACAGGAAAGTGTCCTCTACTTTAAGAAATGCCCACAACAACCTGGCTCCCACCCCCTCAGTCTTCGGTTTTCTTTAACAGGCAACATTCCCAGAGTCAAAACCAGAGCCACATTCATGGAGTAGGTGGGAGACTGTCTTTCTTGATTTCTGGCTCAAGCCACTTTCTAAGAATGTGCAACACCCTGGCGTAGTGGAGATGCAGCACGCAGCCCCTTCCTGTACTTACAAAGCAATTCACAAAGTAGCTAACCCATTTCTGGACAGGAGCCTTGACTGCAGTTGGGTTTCTGTTTATGACAGTAACTTGAGACGCTTTTTCTCAAGGAGATACCAGTGCATGAAGTGGTTGTATTTATAGCAGTTAAGTAAATAAACCACTTCTGAGAGGTAGTAATACCTTACAGGAAATGGGGAGACTCCATTGTGTGAAAACTATTAACATAACTGGTTGTGGAAATATTAAAAAAAACATTCGTGAATATTCTTGCCTGCCTGCTCACAAGAAAGAAAATGACCCATTGGGGTTAAGCAACTAGTGTATATAAAGTTGATTTTTACCATGAAAATATTAAAGTTAGCCAGATTTTAAAATATCTTTGACAGAATATGTATCTAAATGTGAATAAATTTAGCCATTTTAAAAAGGAAAGTAGGCTGCACTCTGGTATTTGTAGACTTTCAGAAAACAAAGGTATTTGCCCATCGATGGTATGTTCTAGGGCTCCAGGCATATATTTTAGACTGGGCAGCATCTTCTTTCTCTCTTCTTTCATTGCTTTAACCCTCTCCTTCCACCTTCCTCCTGGAAAGTTCTGAAGTTACCCAGCCCTTGATGAGAAGCTTATCTTCTTCCAACCTGGATTTGGCTGGAGGCTGTCTTAGAACTCAAAGGCACAAATCCAAGCAAGCACCCAGGTGCCCAGAGAGTAGAAATACCCTCACTGACAAGCATTTTTATGGTGCAGCAGAGAAGAGAAAGGAAAGAGGACAAAGGAAGGTCGCGGAGTCTACAGGACGCGCAGCTGGACAGCACGGCTCCCAAACCCACATGAGTCACTTTCCCTTTCTGCCACTGCAGGAAATTAAATCTGTCTGTCGCCTCCTCTTAGGTCAACCAAGTGCTCGTCCACGACCTCAGAGAGCCAAGGAATTCTTCTTATCAAAGAGGGCATTTGTCTTCCCAATCATGAAATAACAGTCATTTTTACCATCGTCCGATGCGCCCTCTACAGACAGCCTGAGACTGGGCTAAGGTTTTAGCAAATGTGTCCTATGGTACACGGAGAATATGTGCTTTCTTGCTATATCTCTTCAGCCTCTGTAGTTCTTGGCTCATTTCCTGAAAGTCTAGGGAGCCACGCTGGCCCACGAAACTTCGAAATTCCAGTAGGCCACTCCCTGAACAACAGAGAGGCTCAGCTGTCCCACAGGCCTGCCCCAAGCCATCTGTCCACCCAGTTGATACCCCCTCTGGCTTAGTGGTCATCTCTGCCTCTGGCTGGGCAGGTGAGCAGGGGAGGGTTTGGGGTGGGGCTCAGGTATGTCTCTGAGGGACAAGTTAGGAAGGCAACCCAATGAAAAGAACACCAACAACATCTGGGTGATAGCTTGCACTGGTGACTTATGCCAAAGTCACATACGGCTGCCATGAACATTGGAAAATGGTTTTCCAAAAACCCCAATCCTAGCACCAAATGTATTTGACAAGTCTCTATGTGTATTACAGGAATAAAAAACAGAAATTTCTGGCCCTCTGAATTATTAAGCTAAAGACACTAGTTTTTCTATGGAATTCAAAGATTTTCTTTTAGAAAATTGAACATAGGCTTGCTTACCCTTTAAACTCAGCTTAAGGTCACTTCCTCTAGGAAACCATCCATGGCTGGCTGACCCACCTCACTACTCTGGGTTAGGTGGACCTTGTGCATCCAAAGTCTCTCTTTTGAGGACTATTGTAATCCTTCCAACACTCATTTTAATGACCTTCACTATGAGTTTCTTAATTGTAGAAGAGGAAGCAGGTCTAAGTCATCTTGAATTTCAATAACCCAGCACAGCAACTAGCAAGCAGCAGAGGATTGATTATATGTTCATTGAATGAATAAATGAAGTCATTCTTTAGAAAGGTTCAATTCTAAAGTTGATAACAATCAGATGAATGCATGCAGCATTTCATTCTACAATACAAATAATAATTCTTGAGATTAAGGAAAGTCAAAATTTTAGCTAGAATTTGAAAAGGAAAATAAGCATGGCATCTATTTTTTTCCAGACCAGGGAGATGCAATTAATAATTAATCTTTTTTTAATGGGTGGGAAGAATTTCATGATTGTAGGGACCTGCTGACGGTGTTATAATGAAACATCGATTTGGCATAACTGGGAGTGTTTCCAGGGCAACGGTGACTCTCAATCATGTCAAATTACAGCCGTTATCTCCCTGGGTGTCAGTTTTCCCTAGAAAGCTAATTGAAATTGAAAACATATATCTTTAGGTCAAAGTTTGACTTTTCTTTGGATTCATCTGGTTTATCAGACAAAAAGGGAGGGAGAGAGAGAGACAGAGAGAACAGAAAACCCTGAAAAACAACACAATATGTCTAAATTTCAAAGAAAAGTCAGAGCCCATGCGATGATTTCTGGAGACCGTTCAGTCTTTAAAACCCAGAGCACCTCACCAAGACTGCAGGGGAACGTAGGAACGATACCTGCGGTTCATCCGGGGTGTGCACGAGTAAAATGTGGCAAAGTAGGAAGGGGGAGGCACAGGAGGCACGAAGTCATCCGGGTCTGGGATACGGCCATGTTCTTCCACTTCTTCAACGGAAATCTGGGATTCATCCTGATTAAACAGCACGCAGTTAGGCAACAGCCCTCTTTACAAAAACACGGGGAGAAAAGCAACGGATTACGCAAAAGGGTCTGCAGGCTGGCTCAGCCAAGGCAGTCACGATGCCACCCTGCACAGACTTACGACGCAGGATCTTCTGGTTGCAAATATCTGCAGGTAGCGCAGGGCGGCAGCCACCAAGCAGACGGTGGTGGTCAGGGCGTTCAAGGCACAGAGGGCGAAGAGGACTTTCTACAACAAGGAAACAATGACGCCACTACGTACTTCAACACAGATGAACAGAATGCAATGTAAAAAATGTTACAAATAATAATAATAATATCCCGATAAGACAATTCTCATGAGAAAATGCATGTAAAGAATGTAGGTGGTGTTTGGCTCATGGAAAGTGCTGGAATAAATGCTGGCTATTATTATGACATTCATGCACTAACGTGTACTTCTTAATTCCAAACACTTATCTTAGAAGCTTCTTGTCCCAGAAAGACCTGGTATTACAGTATTCCTTTTTGCAAGCATCACAACACTATCTGGAAACGTTCCTTCCAGGAGAGCAACGCATTTCTGTTCTGAAGCTGGTGTCCGCAGGGACAGCAATTGCCAGCCTCCCACCAGGACACACACTGCTTAATTTGTGGCCACTGATTCTATTTCAGGAGCAGTTGGCCGTGCTGCCCTGAGCACCCAACTAGGACGCTGCAGGGGCCAGGCCAGCCCGAGTGTAAATAGGACTTCTCTCCTCTAAACACACGTCTCAAAATAGCAGCAAAGTCCATTCCAAAAGTTGCTGTTGCTACAGTCCTGGCTCCTTAGTGGGGCTTTCCCCAAGCTCAGGTCTGGCTCAGAAAGTTTGGGGGTGACTCAGCTACCAAAACTGCAGAAGCCAGAGAGAGAAGGCCATTTCTACATCCCACAGAACCCAGGGCTGGCACCTTTGAATAGTCTGCTCTCTTTGCGTAGAGATTCCTGCCCCCCACCAAAAATAACCCCAAGACAAGAGCTAAAGAAAGCCGGCGGTGGTGGAATCTCCACAAGCCAGTACCTCAGGGTTCACCAGCTGATTTTGTCACTCACTGGGCTAATGTTCTTTGAGTCAGGGCACGATTTACATCCAATTCCCTGATAAAGGATGATTGTGTATTTCTCTTCAACTGGACTCATTTGTTTTTAAAATCTTGTTTGCTTATTATAGCTGCTGTTTATTAAACAAGAGATAAAGTGCTTAAATTTCACCTATATTTTCTGGTCACTATCTCTCCTTAGTCTACGTGTCATAGACTGGTAGCACTCACCAGCCCGCAGGATTCACTGAAACCAACAAATTTGAGCATCAGAACAATGACAAATGAGCATGCAATTTAAAGGTTTTGCTAAAAGCTACATCCTATATATGTGCGTGTATATATATATATATATATATATATATATGTGTGTGTGTGTGTGTGTGTGTGTGTGTGTGTGTGTGTGTGTGTGTGTGTGCATACACATATATAGTCAGGCTTCTTTCCATTTTTTACTATCTTACAGTTCCTGAACACAAAGAAAACTGCCCATACATAATTTAACACACACCATAATCTGTGGTTCTTTCTGTACTCCATTCTGCCTCTGGGTCACAATGAGGGATCGCTCATATCTGCTTTCAGCAGTTTAATTGTTTGAGGGAGGTAACGGATAGGAATATTTCGAGTAACTTTGCCTTCTCTGGGGACTCAGGGGGTGTTATTGGCGGGGGTGGGAATCTAGGCAGGTACCTTAAGTAGCAGATGCACAGCACTACACGGCTGCACTGGAAAGAGTTTCAAGGCGTTTTCTTTGTCTGTACATTTGGCTGGTTGAAATTCTTCACAACAGAAACAAATCTTGCCTTCACCTAAATCCACCTTAAGGGGAAAAGGTAGAACAATAATTTAATTATTTAAAAAAAACTATATGCTGGCTTCCGTACAGAGCACCAATCCTACAGAATGAGACATGGCAGGGTTCCATGGCAGGCAATGCCTCCATCAGTCAGCATAGGCTAGTGTGTGCTGTGGCAACAACCAAAACCAAAATTTCAGTGACTTACCCAACAAAGGTTATTTCCTAAATATGCTACACATCCGGTAAGCAGGGGACTCTGCTCATCAGACTCCCTTAGGGACCCAGATATATTTTTTAGTAGAAGTATGCCCCAAACATTGCATGAAGCATGTTTATACTATAAAATTATTAGTTGTTTATCTGAAATCCAAATTTAACTGGGAGTCCTGTAATTTTACCCATTAAATCTGGCAACTCTAGCTAGAAGCTTCCTCTTGCAAATGACACTCATCACCTTAGCTCACAATTTCATTGCCAAAGCAAATCACATGGCCCCATCTAACTCCAAGAAGGCAGGGAAGTCAAATCTACCACACATCTGTAAAAAGCACATGGTATATTCTGTGAGCAGTAGCCCTAGACCATGTAGGCTTAAAGGGACCTCTTAGTTCACATTTTCAGTATAGCCATAGATTCTTGTTGTTTTACTTGAGGTGATAACATCGCTGATGAGTAACTTCATATACTTTTAGTGAGATGCTTTGCAAACTTTGGTCACTTTTCCAAATTTTCCTTGAGTCAGGTTGTGAATATAGATAACACCTGATTTTGGTTAATAAGACCCATAATTTTAGGGCACAGTTTCAGTCTTACTTGCTCTGCTGCTTGAGCTATTGAAGTTGGCTACTCTATTCTGCCTAAAAGGAAAGGCTCTTCCATTAATTGTTAAACTAATCAGGCAGCTTTGACTTTATTAATTTCAAAATTCTTCAGGAATCTTTAAGAAAGACTGAACATCTGCAGTGTTTTAGTTGCTAAATGGTGAAAAAAAAAGACTTTTTTTCCTTATTTAATTAAGGTTTTTAAACTTGGTCCTTATAATACAATTCTTAGCCTAGATAGCTAAGAAAAAAAATTCCACTACTGGATTACATATCTTTTTTTGGTTTGGTTATAGTTTCTCTTTCTTTTGAGGTGAAATTTATATACACACAAAAAAATTCACAAGCACACACAAAAAAAATTTACATACACAAATCTTAAGTGTACCATTCGAGAAATTTTGAGTAAAGTATACACCAGTGTAACCCAAACCTTCATCAACACACGGAATATTACCGTCTCTGGAGAAAATTCCCTCATGCTCCTTCTCCATCAGTCCCTGTCCCCACCCTCCCAGAGGCAACCACTGTGCTAAAGTTCTTCCCTCACAGATTAGTTCTGCCCTTTCTAGAACTCCATGGATTCTATAAGACTTTTCATTCTTTGTCCTGAAACCACATTGAAAGGGACGCATTATTATATCACACTTTGCCATAAATTCTTTCTCTGGTGTAAGGAATTGAATCTAGAGTCACCTCCATGGGCTCCATAATGTCTATCGATTCATCCCCACTTGGTTTCCATCCTTTCCTGGTTTTGCTGTGGAGACTGTCGGCTCAGCAGTGTTCCCACACCTAAACCCATAACCCGATACACACACAAGACTGTTTCTATGAGAATCTTCTTCCCTCATCTCACATCTTTGAAGATACATCCTGCTGCTAATATCTACGCTAGCTCTCGCCTTCTAGAGGAAAACTACCTCGGCCATTCAGACAGGCTTTCTTTCTCCAGGCAGGGTCTAGGCGGGTGGGAACTTTCTCTCCTCTTGGGGATCACTGGCTTGCTTTCTCTCTGCCCCTCTCCCATGATTAATAACAGCCCGTACACAGGACTAAAGTCAGCAGGTGAATATCACTCCTTTAATATTCCTCCTTTCTCCTTTAAAGTCTCGAGCTGAGAACTTCCTCTTTTAATCCTAACAACAGACTGTGGGGGTGGCAGGCACGATAAAAAAATAAAAATACAAAAATACTAACAACACTATTTACTGGTAAGAAATAAGCAGCTAGTGGAGATGACTCTGTTGGTGTACGTGAGCTCCACTCCTCCCAATGGGAACCAAAGTCACTTTTTTCAACATCACGCAGTGCGATTTTTATTTCTTGTACTTGGTGCAAGCCTCACCAACTTACTTGAGGACTCTACTTCCCGCAGATAATACGAGGTGTCATCTTACAAAGGACTCCCTTCCCACGCAAGTCCATTATTGATACAAGGTGCTCAGCGAGAAACCAGCCTGTGTGGGCTGAGCACACCCGGCTGTGCTATGTTACTCACATAACACTAGACGTCTAAGCACACAGAAACTTCAGGTATCTGGAACCTTTGGTGTGAGCCAGTCTGGATAGCAAAATTCTCCAGATGGGTGAAAGTTAATCCCTTTAAACAAGATTATTTGAAAGTTTAATCATTATACAAATGATCATGAATATCAATTACTTTGCCCACTGGATACAAGGAAGCCTTGAGGCTCTATGCAAAATGATTTGAGGCAAATGTGCATTGTGTGTTCCTTGTTCTCTTTGTTCCTGAGCCTTGCCAAATCTAACTTTCACCTCTGTTCTTAATCCCATCTCTGCCCAATATTTCTAAAGACTTACTCTAACTTCTCTTCAATCTCTCTAACCTGTCCACAAACAAACCTGCAAAAGTCTCCCCAATTCTAAATGATAAACATCCACCCTTCCACCTTGACACTGTTACCTAAAGCTGTCAGACCCTTGTCTTCCTTCCTCCATCTTCCAACACTGTGGTTCTCAACCCTAGCTGCACATTAGAATTTTCTGGATAGCTTTTTAAAAATAACACCACAATCTTTAGCCATTGGGAGACTGCAAATTAAAGTAATGAGGAGCTCTCACTTTTGCCCCATCAGACTGGCAAAAAATTAAAGAGAAACACTTTTTGCTGGTGGAGAGGTAGACAGCCACTAATAGAAATGTGTGTCTAAGCCCATTAATAAAGGAATTGACCACTCATTTTTAATTAAAAAAAACTTATTTTCCCAACTATTTTGGAAAACTGTTTAGCACCACATGGCCCAGAAATTTCATGCTTAGGTATAATATTTATTAAAGAGAAATGAAAACAGGCCCCTCCAAAAACCTATACAAAAATATTCACAGCAGCTTAGTTCATAAAACCCCCAAACTGGAAACAATCCAAATGTCCATCAACAGGGAAATGGATAAAACAAATTGTGGTATTTTTATACAATGAAATACTGTTCTGCAAAAAAAATAAAAAAGCAAACAATTGATACAATATATAAACATGGATGAATCTCAAAAACATTACACTGAGCAAAATAAGTCAGACACAAAAAGGTACATACCATACGACTCCACCTATATGAAGTTCCAGAACAGGCCAAACTAATCTATGCTGAAAGAACAGGAACAGTGGTTGCCTATGACAGAGACCACCTGAAAAGGGACACCAAAGAACTTTCTAGGGTGATGGAACTGTTTTAGATCTTGCTTGGAGTATAAGCTGAGAGTACACATTTGTCAAAATTAGTGTATACATTGGTCAAAAGTCAGTGAGCTGCACTCTTAAGATGTGTGCCTTTCACTTAACTTTTACCTTGATGTTTAAAAAATGGATAAAATCACAAAATGGTTGAATTTGTGATAAATAAATAATGAGACATGCAGGAAAAAAGATACACTGCTAAGCACAATCCCTTGTCCTGAGAACCTACTCCACTTAGGACTAAAAGCCTCCATGAGGATATGTAGAATAGTATTCATGGCCCCATTGTTTCTACTGGCCAAAATCCAAGCCACAAGAGATAAGAACAAAATAGAAAACTAACTTATTCCAAGAAAATAAGGGTCTATCTAGTATACCTTTAAATGATACAACTTTAAGTGAGAAAAACAAAATACACGGAAGTATATACAATACATCCCATTCTTAAAAAAAAAAATCACAAATAACTTCATCCCATACATATTTATATAAGATTATATGATTAAAATACTATGAAATAAGATTTCATCAGCTTGTTATTATGGATTTGGGGTGAGTGATGTGGGTGGAAAGGGAAAGCGGAGAGAAGAGCCTCCCCTCTTCCCTCAAAGGACTTTGTCAATAGCTTCTCTAATGAAAAGCAATTATGGTATAATCCCGTTGATTACAATATGATCTCATTGTGTGTGTTATTATGCATAAACAGATACATAAAATATGGCTAAATGGTTAACTGTGCTATCCCAGAATAGTGGAAATTCAAATGATTTTTTTTTTTTTTTTTGAGTCAGGGTCTTGCTCTGCCACCCAGGCTAGAGTACAGTGGCACCATCATAGCTCACTGCAACCTCAAACTCCTGGGCTCAAGCAATCCTCCTGCCTCAGCCTCCTGAGTAGCTAGGACTACAGGTGCATGCCACCATGCCAAGCTAATTAAAAATAAATGTTTTGTAGATATGGGGTCTCACTATGTTGCCCAGGCTGGCTTTGAACTCCTGGCCTCAAACAATGCTCCCACCTTGACCTCCCAAAGCACTGAGATTATAGGCGTGAGCCACTGTGCTTGGCCAATTCAAGTGATTTTTAAGTTCTGTCCTATACATTTATGGCTTGCCCAAATTTTAAAAATTATATCATTAGAAATAATCACAGATTTGGTTTGTTGGTGGGAAAAAATTTTAATTAAAAATACACTTAATGAAAACCATCTATCTGATAAGGAGTTAACATGCAGAATATATAAAGAACTCCTAAAATTCAACAAAAACAAAATAACCTGATTTAAAAATGGGCAAAGGACTTGCATAGACATTCCTCCCAAGAAGACATACAAATGACTAACAAGCATATGAAAAGATGTTCAACGTCACTAATCATTAGGGAAATGCAAATCAAAACCACAATGAGATATCATCTTATACCCATTAGGATGGCCACTATCAAAAAAATAAGAAGATAACAATGTCAGTGAAGTGTGGAGAAATCGGAACCATTGTGCACTATTGGTAGGAATATGAACTGGTGCAGCCACTAAGGAAAACAGTATGGAAGTTCCTCAAAAAACTAAAAACAGAATTATCATGATTAAACAACCCCACTTCCGGGTATATACACAAAAGAATTAAAACCAGTATCTCAAAGAGATAGTTGCATACCCACGTTCATTGCAGCATTATTCATAACAGCCAAGAAGTGAAACCAACCTAAATATCCATCAATGGATAAGTGGATAAACAAAAGGTGTCATTTACATACAATGGAATAGTACTCAGTCTTATAAAAAGGGAATTCTAACATGTTACAATATGGATGAAACTTGAAGATGTTGTGCCAAATGAAATAAGCCAGTCACAAAAGGATAAATACTGTGTGATTCTACTTGTATAAGGTACCTATAGAAGCCAAATTCAAAGAAACAGAAAGTGGAATGGTGATTGCCAGGGCCTGGGTGGAGGGGAGGATGGAAAGTTGTTGTTTAATGTATATAGAGTTTCGGTTTTGCAAGATGAGAAGTGTTCTGGAGATCGGTTGTACAACAATGTGAATATACTTAACACTACTGAACTGTACGCTTAAAAGTGGTTAAGATGGCAAATTTTAAGTTATGTGCATTTTACCACAATTAAAAATGTTTTTAGGCTGGGCATGGTGGCTCACGTCTGTAATCCTAGCACTCTGGGAGACTAAGGCAGGAGGATCACTTGAGCTCAAGAGTTCAAGACCAGCCTGAGCAAGAGCAGGACTCCATCTCTACTTTAAAAAAAATAAAAATTACTTTTAAAATTGAGATGGTACAGGTCCCCAACCTCTTTTCCACAATTCTGAAATCCAAAAAGCTCTGAAAACTGGAAGTCTTGATTCCAGCCTGCTGTCCCAGACTCGACTAGTATGCTACATAGTAAATGGTAGATGTACCATATTCATCTTCTAAAATTGGAAAAACTCTAAATTCTGACACACACCTGGCCTCCAAGGATTTCAGATAAAGGATTGTTGACCTGTATTCAGAGAATATCCATTTTTCCTTTTTAGATGAGGGCAGACAGAGATTGATTGTGGACACCTAACCCATCCAATCATTAACGATGCATTTTATTACTGTGGTTCTGGGGTTATGCTGGCCCTGATTTGGAAAAAATCATTGACAACCTGAGTGGAATTATTAGCAGGTAGCTCTTTGTTTTGTTTTTTCACTTCCTTTTACCAATTTCAGGTTTTGCTGCAGGACGGTTGCCTGGTGCTGACTATTGCTAGTCATGCCAGGAACACCAGACAGGCCAGGCTCTGCCTGGATGCACAGTGACATTTTAGGACTGCTTACCAGATCACACCTGGGCACACTGGACACAAACTGGGCCCCTTGGCAGCCTAGGATAAATCCAGCAAGATTTAGGAGGACACAAACCACAGAGAGCAGCACAAAGAGGTTTACCTGAAACGGCAAGACAATGGGCAGTTAGAAAAAGATGACAGCTAAATCCATAGTTTTGTCTGAATAATAAAAAAAAAACTCTCATTCTCTTCCAAGAGGAAACGTTAAAAAAAAAAAAGTCACAAGTGTGTTTTTAATGTACTAACTTTTCTCACATTTTAAAATTGTTCAAATTGTGCTGAAGAATGCCATTGACTCTCAAGTCATCTCAATAAATGCAAGTCCCTATTTTTTTCCCTCTTTGCAAATAGTTCTTACTCCCTTGTCTTTTATCTCTACATTACACTAAGGCCTGGCTATTCCTCCTTGAGCCATTTTAATTTTTTTTTATTAGTTTTGTGGGATCAACACTAAGCAGACAAATGGAGAACTCTGGAATGTACATGGAACCCAGGAAAATCAAGGAGCTCAGAGCCATTACAATCCAGAAATCACACTCCACAAATGAACATCAAGATGGGTCTTTTTTCAGTTCAGAACAGTTTAAGTAGTAAAGAGTAAGTGTAAAACAAAGATCTTCCATGTACGTTTATCCAAAGTTAAATAGTACAAATATTACTCCAAATAATTAAAACTTGACAGTAGTCAACCAAGAAGCCAATATTTAGTAAAATTAGACACTATACAAGTTTTTCAATTTGAGAGCTATGATTATTATAAATATAAAACCTTATCACAAATACAAAAGCAAATATAAAAGACTAGAGCCAATGATTATCAAGGTTAGCACCAAGCATCAATTAGGTAGCTGGTATGTCAGAGTCGGCTGATAAATGAGTTCACATATGAACTCTAATGGAGAAACCTTGTTCTTTAACTACTGTTGTTATTCTAAGTCAAGCTTGAAAGCATCTCCCCAGACCCATTTCATGAGTACAGATTCTTTTTTTTTTTTTTATTTCAGCATATTATGGGGTTACAGATGTTTAGGTTACGTGTGTTGCCCTTGGTTCCCC